CCCCAGCCTCAGGCCCAGGCCCAGGCCCAGCTCCATCCCCAACTCCAGCCCCAGCTCCAGCCCCAGTTCAAGCTTCATCCCCAAACCCAACCCCAACCCAAACCTCAACCCCAGCCCACAATGCAGGCTGAGCTATGTCAGTTGATTGTACAACAGCCCCAGCCCCAACCTGAATCCCAACTCCCGTCTCAACTCATGGCTGACCTGTATGAGTGGATTCAAGAACAGCTCCAGTCCCAATCCAAATCCCAACCCGAACCCCAGACTGAACCCCAACTCCAGCCTCAATTCCTGGCCGATCTGTATGAGTGGGTTCTAGAACAGCTCCAGCCCCAACCCAAACCTCAACCCCATCCCCAGTCCTATCACCAGCCTGAGCTCTGTCAGTGGATTCCACAACAGCCTCAGCACCAACTTGAACCCCAACTGGAACCCCAACCGCAGCCCAAGCTGTATCAGTTTCTACAGCAGACCCAAATCCAACGAGAACCACAACCTGAATTCCAACCCCAGCCCCAGCCCCAACCCCAACCTGAGCTGCATCAATGGATTCTACAGCAGACCCAGCCCCAACCCCAACCCCAGCCTGAGCTGTTTCAGTGGATTCCACAACCGCCCCAGCCCTAACTTAAACCCCAACCTGAATCCAAGCTGTATAAGTATCCACAACGCATCAGCACCCCACTACTTCTCTTCCACCACAGCCTGTCCCACAGGCTTCTGTCCAAGGTCTGAGCAATCAGGGGTTGGCCTTGCCGGCTCAGCAAGATGTTCTGGGGAACCTTGATGAAACACCGTATTTTGTGCCACGCGAGCCAGCTACATTAGGTGAACTTTTCTCTGGCCAATTCATGCTTTCTTCACAGGTATACCAGGTTCCTCCCACTCTGCAACAACAGCTGCAGCCCCATGGGCACGTGCAGGGGCAGGGGGCTGCACCCAGTGTCTGTAGTGACAGTGGCTCCTCAGGCCTCTCAGATACCCCACTGTGGCCACATCAACAGTAGCATCAGCAGAGGCTTGCCAGCCACCTCAAAGTCCTAAGTCTTACCTCAGTTTCCCTGTTTTTAGAATACACATGAGGTGGCGCTAAATATGTTTTGAGCTTTTACTTCATCTTTGGTGTTTTTGATGTATTGGTATTTTACATTTTAAAGCATAAGCTCTACACCAAAGCACAATCCTATGATCTTTACATAAAAACAGGGAATACATTAAATTAACCATGAGAGTCTTCCTGAAGTTGCTCTCTTTGTTGTTGCTAACCTATTTTACTGTAGCATTTTAACATGTGCTCAAACCCAAACTAGATTCATTTTAAACTCTTGAAACTTATAATTTTCAGTGTATTTACCATTGTTATTCTCTAATTATATTTGTTCTGAAAAAATTATTTTTTCATAGAACTGTTTTTATATTTTCTTCAGTAATATCTATTTGCATTACATAAAGATAAAATGTAATCATTAAAAAAGAAACATAATTTCTCTGAACAATAAAACAGCAATAAGAATACACATCTGGTTAATGTTTGAGCAAGATGAGCTAGTTTCAAAATTTTGATTATAAAATATAACACAAAATTGACTCTCTTCACCATTTTAAGGGCACCATTCAGTAGTATTCAGCCCTTTCTCACGGTTGTGCAGCACAGCTGTAGGAGTTTTGCGTCTTACAGATCCCATCTCTGCACCCGTTAGACACCAGCTCCCCATTTCCTGTCCCTCGGCCCCTGGCAGCCTGCATTCATTCTGCCTCCTGTCTCCATGAATTTGAGAATGCTGGGCAGGTCACAGAATGAAATCCTGACAGTGCTCATCATGTGGAGATGGGTTTATGTCACTTAGCGTGATGTCCTCGGGGTTCATCCCACGTGACAGGAAAATGATCGCTTTTTAGAAACTAGTTTTCCTGTAGAGTACATACCTATGAGCTGGGGAACCATGTTTGAGGACAACATAGTTGGTATGCATGTGTCCCCTTTGAAAGGTTTGTGTGCAAGGTATGAATTGTAATTACTTACTACACACCTAGTTTGAAAAAGCAAAAGAATCCACAAGAAATGAAGGTCACACTGAGGTTGAGTACACCAGAGACACGCACACCTGTGGGGTGCATTTGTTAGCAGATGTGCCAGTGTGACAGTCCCCGGACCTTCCTGGGTCTCCCCTGCACTCATTGCTCTCCCTCTCCGACCCCAGAGCACATCTGTCCTCCTCCAGACCCTGTGGTTGGCCTGGAAAAGGCTCTTCTCTGATGCCCTGTCCCCCTCTTTATAAAGCCACTTACCTCTTTTTAGAACAGTAGGTTAGAGCAGGGCATGGTGACTCGTGTCTGTAATCCCAGTCCTCACAAATTTGGGCCCAGCATGGGCACCCTAACAGTGTAGCAAGACCCTGCCCGAAATAGGGAATTAAAAAGGGCTGGAGATGTAACTCAGGGCAGAGGTGCTGGGTCCAACCTCAAGCAGAACACCACCAAAACAAAACAACCTAGGTTAATTTCAAAAAGGCAAAAGAAACATTTGGTGACCTGTTTTCATTTGTTTTTCTAATGCCTGTAGCCTTGTTAGATTAAGTGGAATCTCCTCCTCCTTTTTCTTCCCATGCCTTTCCCTTTGTTTCTTCATCAGTTGTTCAGCAGTCCCTGCTGCTTCGTCTCCACTTTTCTTTTTTTCTTGTTTCAGTGGGACTCAAAGACACGTGAACTTTTCTGGCCTCTTTTTCACTTTTTCCTTGTTAAAAATTGAGGTATAATTCATGCCAGAAGCATTTAACCATTTTCAGGTACCATTCTCTGACATTTAGCACATTCTCAATATTGTGCAGCCACCAGCTCTATGTGTTTCCCTAACATTTTCAGCTCTACAGAAAAAATCCCTGGACCCATTAGGCACTCAGCAGTGCTCCTGTCTACCACCTGCCTCTGGCAACCACTGATTTTTCTCTCTGTCTCCAGGAACTGCACTGTTCTCGGTATTTCCTAGCGATGGAATCATAGCGTATGTTCTTTTTTGTGCCTATCATAATGTTTTTGAGGTACTTGGATTTTTTACCTGTATCAGTACTTCATTTCTCTTTGGCTGGATAAATATTTCATAGTTTGTATGTAGTGCCTTCTGTTTATTCATCCATTGATTGTTGGACACTTGAGTGGTATCTACCTTTACCTATTGTGGATAGTGCTGTTATCATCCTTCATGTATTTGTTGTAATTTCCTACATGTTTTGTTCCCTTACAACTTTGAATGGCAATGTCCTTCCAGAGGATTTCTCTTTATAAGTACATGTGTGTTTTTCTGCCTTTTGCTCTAAGAAGAAAGGAAATTTTGTCTGGTAATTTAAAAGAGATTAGCGAAGAAACAGGCCGACTTGAAGAAAACACATCAGATTTGCCATCTGAGTGACGAGGAGCCCATCCTGGACATCACTGGGAATGGTGCCTGCATGGTAATTAAAGAAGTGAACAAGTGCAATGAGCCATTGCAAAGAAGAATGCATCCTTGGCGTGTGAACATCCACCACAGACCTGACTTGTGAGTGTAAAAAGATGTAATGTCTTTCCTTCCTTTGTCTTCTGCCTGCTCCTCCCAAGTAGCACAGGGAAAAATACCAGCTGAGTTTGTGCTTTAGTCATGTGGGGTTTTCTTCCAAGGCAGCTAGATAAATTCAGTTGTTTCAAACTATCATTTGCTCATCCTTCTTAAAAGTATTTTCAAGACCCATCTGGTTGGTAACTTTGACTTGGAGTCCCTTTTGAATATACCAGTTGGCTACATTTTGAGAATGAGCTTTTAATTCATTTTAGCATCATGAAACCCTCCAAGCTCTTTCCTAAGCCAAGAAGAATCCTTACTAGCAATCCACAGCTAGATCAGTAGGCACTTCTTCAGGAATCTCCTGCAGAGCATTGACGGTGAGGTGGTTACATGTAAGCAGATGGCCTTAGAATTCTCAGGTCACAGAGATGGTCCCCCAGAGAAGCATCCAGGCAGGCCCAGTACTACACGGCACATCAGGCAGAAGTGGGCCTTTGTCACGGGACATGAGTTTGAGAACAAGACGATTACATTCCCTGAGGATACTTGCAAGGGAAAGGAGAATTCTAGCTCTGGGCAGTGCTGTCCAGTAGAGACTCATTGTAACTTTAAATTTTCTCATAGCTACATTTTAAAAGGTAAACAAAAATATAGGCAAAATTAATAATAAAACATACTTAACCCAGTACAGTATATCTAAAACATTATCATTTCCATTTATCAATTTAAAAATTCTCAAACCAGGCGTGGTGGTGCACGCCTGTAATCCCAGCACTCGAGAGGCTGAGGCAGGAGGATCGCTGGGAGTTTGAGACCAGCCAGGGCTACATAGTGCGTTCCAGGTCAATCTCAACTACATAGTGAAACCCTGCCTCAAAAAACAAAACAACAACAAAAAGAATACATTATTTTATTCTTATTAAGATTTCAAACTCCAGACTGTCTCAATTTGGATGCTAAATTTTTTTCTTTTTATTGAGTTTATTGGTACATTTTAGGTATACAGTACAGTTACATTTGTCATTGGGATCTTGTACCTTTACATGACCAGTCTTGATTCTCATTTTTTCCCCTTGTCCCTGCCTTCCCTTCACCCCCTCCTCTCCTCCCCATTTACAAACACTTTATTTCCACTTTTGCATTTTCTCCTATTTTTTTCTTTTCCCTTATTCCCTTTCCCCTTCCAGATGCTAAATTTTGATAAAAGATGTTTGACTTGAATTTAGATTTTGTAAAATTCACAGTTGAAAATGTACTTCACCTCCCACATACTTAGTTTTCCAAGAATTAAACCAAGTATATTTTAAAATCTCAATGAATTAAAAGTAAATAAAATTTAGAAATCAGTTCCTCAATCTCACTGTCAACATTCCAAGTGCTCCATATCCATGTGTCTCGTTGGGCAGTTTTGTCCTGGAAGGAAGGAGGCTTAGAGCAGGTAACAGAGCCTCTGTCAGGAACTGGGGACCAGGTCTTGAGCTCTGGGCACCAGTCATCAGGGCGCACAATTGAGGTTAGAGTGATGCTACTGATTTCAAGTGCTGGACTCCCTGAAATCCTCACAGCCAGGGCTCAGCTGGGACCTGCAGGTAGAGATCAAGGTCCACTCATGGTATGAGGAGAGTGCTAGAGGCTGGCACACGAGAGTTCAGCCATTTCTTGCCAGGCCCTTCAGAGCCATATGCAAAATACTGATAGGACCCTCACCATCCCAGCATCCATCTGAGACTCACCTATCTAATCTCTATCTCCAAAGAGCTTGGAGCTTGAGGGAATGGGATAGCGGAGAGGCACCACCCTCTCTTTTACTCTTCCTTTCCCTCTTTCTCCCCATCCGCCATTTAGGTCTCCAGTTCTTCCAGCACGAGTGAAGCCAGATCAGTCACGAGTTGGCCTTGTGAGCTTGGGTGATGGGCATATGGAGCTCATTATAGTATTCTCTCCACTTTGGTGTGTAATCGAAGTTGGCTTCACCACGCATACATCACTGATGTTCTTACAGCCTAATGAACATGCCTTCCCTATCCTGGCCTTCATCTTATACCTGAAGTCCCGCCAGTCCCCAGCCCTCTACTTGCCCTCTGTCTTCCCACTTCACTGCCATAGCCGCAGGCATCAAAGGGTGTATGAGTTAATTGTTAAATTCAGTTCAACAAGTTTCTCATTAGGGACAAATTACCTGAGTTTGAAATCTGCTAATTTTCCAATCAGAGTGAGTGTTTGCACTTGTGATTTGGAAATAATTACCATATGGTAAAAGCAAAACCTATGTAGGGATTAAAGTAAAGGTGAGGGAGGACAGGAGCTTATTTTGGCATCGTCCCTGGAAACTCATGTTAGCATATGCAGATTAGTTGCGATGCCTGTGTGTTGGAGTAGGAAAGCTCACATGTAGCAGTGCTTTGCAAAAGCTATTTATTTTATGTGCAAGTGTCCATGAAAGGTGATCCCAGCCTCTGATGAGAGAGCAGCATGGCCTTCACAGGCCAAAATTGGGCTTGGGAAA